CAGTCAGGCATGGGTTGTCCCAAGTCCACATGGTCAAGCCAGTCAGCAATCTGGTCCATGCACTGCAAGCCTGCAGGAGGCACAGCAGCCAAGCCAGTCCAGTCAGTTGCAAGGTCCTGTTGAAATTGGTGATGGGTCCAAATCACCATCGCCTGTCCTTCTTAAGTATAGTGGGGATAGTGTCATGACAGGGTCTTATCACAGTGAAGAAGATGGTATCCAATGGGAGTGGGCAAGGGTAGCCCACACAGTGCAAGCCAAGACTGAGAAGGAACACCTGTACCTGAAAAGAAACAAAGAATTCTTTGAAAAGGAGTTTCGCTTTGCACAGATTCCACCAGATGAGCTTAAGTACAAAGGCAGTGCTGATAAGGATCTTGACCAGCACAGTGTAAGCTCCAGGGGGTTGGTCTTGATGCTGTGTTTGATGGTTGGCAACAAAAGGTTCTCAGCCAATGTCAAGGTCAAAGCACTGTCCATGCTTGTTGCCATGCTCAGATTTGCATGCCAAACCATTGCATTTGCCCACAGTTTTGTGGGTGTTGTCTTTGGAGGGGGTGAGTGGCATCAAGAGACCCTATCTTATGACAAGTTTGGGATGACTCAAGGACTGCAGGCATTGCTGTCTCACCACCCAGGCTCTGCAGCAAGTTGGCAGAAGCTTATGTCCAGTGAGTTCTGTGGGCAAAAGCTATTGACAACCCTTGAGCATTCCAGCATTTGGGACCTGCTGATATTCCTTTTGTGGTCCAAGACAAACCCAAGCACCAAAAATGTTTGGAATTGTGTAGGTATGCACCTTTGGCCAAAAGTAATTCTCATTTGTGGCATGCTATTGGAAAAAGCAGGTATGCTCAGCCTCAGCAAGCCCTTTGAGGCTGTACCTCTCATGAAAACAAAATTGGGCAACAGCAAAAGAGTCCCTCTTGTTAATAAATGGGTCTTACTTCAAAAGGTTAAGAAAACCAGAAGACATAGAAAGGACGCAATGGTGACCCATAAGGATTTGGTTCCTGCAGGCTCTGGCTTAGTTAGCCATGAGCAAGTGATTGAAGTAGGCATCTACCTCCAGAAAGCCAAACAGGCCTTTAAAAACTCCTGTCACCTGGCAGTCAGCTGGGACCCCAGCACTTATGATGTGGAAACCTTAGTCTCCTGCATCTATTCCCATCAGTCCAAGTTGTTTTGCTACCCTCCCATTCAAAACATGAAGCCATTGGTCAGCTCAGAGCTTGAAGATGAATTGAGGGAACTTGCAGCTGTCAATAGGCTGACTAGAATTGATGGGTACAATGAGATCAGAGCTTTATCCCACACCCTTGCTGCCTTGGTGTATCCTTTGGACAAATTCTTTTTGCCAAAGTCCATCTTGTGGAAACCTCTGAACACACATGAAAGAAGAATCTTTGTTGGTGGGAAGTGGATGATTCACAACAGCTTGACCAAATCCCAGGCACCACAGCTGCCTGAAGACTTGAACATCAACCAGATCCCAGTCCTTATCTCCTTGAGCGATCAAGGAAGCCTCAACAGAGCAGGACTTGACTATTGTGTGTATAAATTAGGCCTTTGCATTTTGCCACTGTGGGACCCATACCACAGATGTTGGAATGATCTTAGGGATTCTCTTAAAAAGGTTGGCACCCTGTTTAAGACATTCCTAAGTTTTGCATTATTTTTTAACATAAATTATGGCCCAAGTGGCAGCAAGGCCTGGTTCCAAAAAAACAAGCCAAAAGAGAAGAATTTGTCAACCAGAAGAGTGCCCATTCCAATCCATTCCTCCAATATTTGCCCTTCATTCAAGAAGAAAGGGGCCTACCAGAACCAACAGACTCTGCAGGAAAGGAAGATGTATTTAACAGCATTTGGAAATTAAATAACTTTAATGCCTTAGGCCCAGTTGCTAAACTCATGCGCTGGTTTAGCTGGTTCCAGTGTGAGCACCACTATTCTGGTGAGGTCTGGTTCACCAAAATGGTGATGGTTGACAGCCTCCTGCCTGAGGATGGGGTTCAGAATCAGAAAGTGAAAGAGTCAGATCAAATGCATTTCCCTTCCAACCTGACCCCCAAACAGGAATTGCAGAAACTCAAACAGCAGCATGGCTCCTATGCACTTGCACCCATGCTTGTGACATCAGAATCAATGCATGAAAAGGACCTAATTTCATTGATTTGCAACCCATTGTGGAGGCACTTTTCTAGCAAAGCATCCAAAGTTCTGAAGCCTTCACAGGTCATGGCAGAGACCATAGAGAAAGCTTCAGGCCTTTGGAAGCAGGAGCTTTTGGACTTGATGGTCAATGGTTTCCAGACACCTGCAGTGTTTAAGAAACTGTACCCAGAGAGGAAGTTTGGTGACTTTGAGCACAATGCACAATTCAAGGCCAGACTGCAAGTCCATTGCAACTTCCTTTTGCATTTGCTAGGTAAAAGGTCTTGCAGCCTTGTGTATACTTACCTGAGACCACCTTTTAGGTACTGCTCTTTGTTGACAGCTTCTACACACAAGGCCACACAATTGAAAATCAAGGCAGATTTTGAGAAGATTCTGAGTTTGGAAGCTAGCAATGCCAGTGGCCAGAATTGTGGTCCTTTAGATTGCATTCACATCCTTGGCAGTTCTTTCATGAGACTCCTTTTCCTTCTCAATGAGAGGGACATTGCTGCAGGTAGGACTGATGCTTCCACACTCTTGGAAGTGGCTGTTTGCCACCAGGGCGATACAGCATGCATCGAAAGCACTCATTCTGCTGCAAAGGACATTTTAAGAGACTCTAGGCACAACATTCGCTCTAGAATCCATAAACAATTTGCAGTTCAGCACTCCAAGGTCATGCAATCCAGGGGTTGGGACCATATCACTGTCTCTGATATGGAGAAAGCATCAGCAAGCCTCAGAACTATTCCCCCTTTTGGGCCCTATACACATCCCAATGCACATAAACTAAAGAAGTGCTTTCAAGAGGTAATGAAACACAAGAGTGGTCAGCACTTTTGGCCAGCCACCACCCCACAATCTTTGTTCAATGAAGTCCTTTCATTTCAATGGTTGGTTGAGGAGCATCCCAAAACCAAAGATACATCCATGACAGCAGCCAACCTTTCTTGTTTGGTGGGGCAGGCAGGTTCACTAGTGGCACACAGGCATGGTCAAGCCTTTCTTGTCCTTCATGTGGGCAACTGTGGTTTCTTAGGCTGGGTGTTGAAGGCCAGCACTGCAGTCCAAGGCTACCCATGTTTTGAGTGCAGTGTCAATTTGTCAGCAATTCAATTTCAGCATGTGGTTGACATGAACCAATGGGTTGATGTCCCATGGGAGCCTGAGTGCAAAGACATGTTTGGACCCCTTGTATTGAGGCAGATTGCACCAGCCAGAAAGCTGATTATGGCAAGGCTTCAGGAGGGTTTGGCCCTCACAATTGCACAGGTAAACATTGTACTTGCCTTGCACCAAGTTGCACCCAAAAGGTCAAGGGCAGATGCTTACAGGGCCTTGATTGAAATTTTCATTCAGGGAGAACAGCAAAGAAAAGAACTTTTTGACAAATCCAATGCTCATAAACCAGAGACAGAGGAAGTGGAGGGAGAGGAAGATGAAGGGTACCAGGAACTGTTAGATGCATTGGATGATGCAGATGCAGAAAACAGGGGCGACCCTGACTTGAAAGCTGAAAAGAATAAATTGAAGAAGAAAAAGGCTCTTGGGGCAGGGACCCTTTTGGAAGCCCCAAGCAGGGGCAGAGGCAGGGGCAGGGGCAGGGGTAAAGGAAAAGGCAAAGGAGGCAGGGGCAAGGGCAAAGGTAAGGGTAGAGGAAAGTTCTCCACACAGAAGAGATTCTTGGAGAAACACCAGAAGGTGGAGTCAGAGACAGAACAGCCACCCACCAAAAAGGTGAAACCATCTTTGCCTGTTGAGACTGCTCTTGACAGTTCTTTAACAAGTGATGCCAACCCAGGAGGCCAATCATCAAGTGTACAGGGGCCCAGGGCACCTGTTGATGCTGAGCCTGTTGATCCTTTCCAAGAGGATGCCAACCCAGGAGGCCAATCATCAAGTTCAAAGGGGCCAAGGGCACCTGTTGATGCTGAGTCTTTTGATCCTTTGCAAGAGGATGCCAACCCAGGAGGCAAATCCTCCAGTTCAAAGGGGCCTGGGCCAAGTGCACCTGTTGCTGAGTCGTTTGCTCCTTTGCAAGAGGGTGCCAACCCAAGAACCACATCAGGTGCACCTGAGTCTTTGATTCCTTTGCCAGAAGGCACCAGCCCAGCAGAAACAGCAGAAGCAACACCTTCAGCAGCACCTGCAGCAAAGGCAGCAGAAGCTGGAGGAGCATTGGCACCTGCAAACTCACTGGTGGGTTCAGCAGCTCCTGCTGTGCCTGGGTGTGTTTGCTTTCAATGTTTCCTGTGTTTCAGTGTAGTTTTTTGGGTGTGGGTGTGTGGGTGTGGTTTGAATGTGCCTGAATGTGTTTGGTGAATTGTTTGACTGAGAGTTGTACTTTGACACAGCCACTCAGGCAGCTACAGTCAGGTCAAGTGGCCCAAAGCTACATGCAACTCCAGCATTGCTTTCTGAGCTAGAGGGGCCTGGATTCAAATTTGTGTTGAATCACAAAGACCATCGCTTCACAGTGAGCTTTCAGAGGAAGGGTAGCAAGAGTGCCCACTGGCTTGATGAATATGCACAGTGGAGCTTTTCCAGGTCTTTTGACCAAACCAATGTTGCAGACTGGGTTGCAAAACTCAAGCAGTGTCATCAGTGGGGGTGGACCAAATGGGCCCTTGCTACTGATATTGCAGGTTTCCACCCAGATGGATTTGTTCCACAGGAGCCTGGATTGATTCTAGACTCATTTGTTGAGAAGTTGAGGCCAGTGATTGAAGGCCTACCAGACAAGACCCAGTACACTAGGAAGAGCTGAGAAAAAGAGCTCATGGTGTGGCTGCTTGTGCTGCTTTCTGTGACTATGTTTTTCAATGTTTTTCAATTTTTTTCTATGAAGCCCTATGATATCCAATTAGATTCAATTTGTTTCTATGTTGCCATATAGGGTGAGAAACAGGTGAATAGTATCCCTCTGATTGGTGTCCCACATGGCTTGAATGAGTTGATCTCTTCCCTTTCGCCCTCTTCTCCTTGCTCTCGTTGTTCTCCTTGTCAGCGTGGCCATCTTCAGCCACTTTCCTCCGCTTGTTCTTGTTGAATTCACCCTGGACGCTTCTCTTTGCCTGTTCAGGCTCCTTCCTCTGCTCTGCCTTCTTCTCTTTGTTGTCGACCTTCTCTTCCTCAGATTCTTGGAAATCACTCATGCGCAGAGTCGTCGCATCATCATCAGAGTCTGCGCCTTTTTGCCTGCCGTTCTCTTCTTGGGTCATCTTCTTCTCATTGCCTTCTTCTGTCTTCTGGCTCTTTTTCTTTGCCTGGTCACGCTTGACTTGCTTTGTTGCCTGTTTCTTGGCCTCGCCCTTGCCATCTGCCTCCTCGATCTCAGAGCCGAACAAATCAGTCTTGTCATTGTTTGCCATCTTCTCCTTCGCCTTGCCGTTCTGGGTATTCTCCTCAATCTTCTTTTTCTCAGCTGGCTTGTGGTCATGCTCAACCTTGCCATCTTTCTTGTTTGATTGATTTGTTGGCTTCCTCTCTTTTCCTTTCTTCATGTTCTCTTCTTGGGTCACCTCAGAAACAGTCTTCATCCCACGACCCTTGTCGCCCTTCTCCTCAATCTCAGTCTTGTCTTTGTCTTCCATCTTCCTTTTCGCCTTGCCTTTCTCGGTCTTCTCCTCAGTCTTCTCCTCAATCTCTGTTTCCTCAACTGTCTTGAGGCCACGCTCAACCTTCTCATCGGTCTTTGTTTTCCTCTTTGTGTCTTTCTTCTCTTCCTGGCTTTTGTTCTTGGACTCATTAGTTTTTCCCGTCACCTGACTTTTGCCTTCAGCCTTCTCAACCTTAGAGCCTTTCTGATCTGTTTGATCAGCCGTCTTCCCTTTTCTTTTGCCTTTCACTTCCTCCGCTTCCTCCTTTCCCTTTTGGCTCTCCTCAGGAACCTGTTTCGGTTTCCGACCTCTTTTTGGTTTCTCTTGATTCTCACTCGCGGCTGGCACCTTCCCCAGGGCAGCCGCAACTGCGAGCTTGCGTTTGGATTCCGCACCGATCGTTGATCCTTCAGGAGTTGAACTTGAACCAGGTTCCTTTTCATTCTTTTTTCTGCGGCGTCCACCCGCAGGACCACGAGCACCATCTTCCTTGTCGGGCTTTCCTCCCTTCTCCTGGACAAGGCAGGGCAAAACGCGGACGTCTGGACGGAGTGTGTGTGCAGGGCTGGTTTGAACGACATGCTGACATGTTGTTTGGTCGTTAAGATGTTGGCCGATTGAGTTGGTCATTGGAAAACCACTTGTCGTTGGGCCCTATCATGGAACAATTCCCGACGATTGGAAAACTGGCCTTCGATTCAGCAGCAGCTTCTTTTCCATCCTTTGAAGCTTCATCATCACTTGGAAGGTCTTCATACTCATCGGTCAAAGACTCTTCTGAATCCAAAGGGTTGGATTCTTCATCCTCCTCCTGTACCTTTCTCTTCTTTGCACCCTTTCCATTCTTTGCCTTTGCTTTTGATGCAGTCATCTTCTTCTGATCTTTGGCATTTTTGGCAGCGGCTTTTTCTTCTTTTGCCTCTGACTTTTGACAGGTTTTCGCTGCACTGACACCAGCTTGAAGTTCCTTGATTCTTTCCTCTGACATCGCTGGGTCTGTTTTCCCAGAGCATTGACCCACTGTCAACGGGACAGGTTCCTCCTTTGACTCAGAAGGTTTGACAGCCTCTTTTGCTGTGTTCTCATCGGACTCTTTGGCATTGGTGCCAGCAGTCGGACGACCAGTCTCTGATGGAAAGTTCAGTTTCAGCTTTGTCTCCTCCAAAGCTTTGGGCTGAGGCAGAACTTGACTTTGATCTTTTGGTTGAACTTGATCCTCCGGCCACAGACAATGAACAACATATCAACTAACATCAAGTCAATGTTGATTTGAGATAATCGGAGCGTGCAAATCTGGTCAGGTGAGGCCTTCTTGGACTTCGTGGCATCCGAATCAGAGGCAGGATCCTTGGGACGGGTGTCTCAGCACAGCAACAGGAGGACTAAGTTGTTGATATGGCATACATATGATCATACCTAAGAATCTTACTCCAGCGCGACGGGCTCTTGGTGTGATCAATGCCGCTGGGCTTTCCTCGCCCACCCTGCTCAGATCCTTGCGCAAAGATTAGAGACCCACAACTAGAAATCACTGAGACTGGTTTTGTGCAATCTTTTAGAAAAGAATGACAGGCCCTCAGGGCTATTTATTTGCCGTCCTGGTCGAAGCCATGGGCGGCGAGCAAAGATTCCAGAGACATGTTTGCCCAGTGATCGCAAACACCGGGTCTAGTCCAAGAATCCAACTACAAGCTAGCACGGGTTGAGACACACAGCTAAAAGTCAGAGCCAATAAGTTGGCCGCAACATGTTTGACTTGCAATTACCGCAAGGCCTCAAACATTGAAGAGACAGCGATTCAAGACTTGTACCCAAAGAAAAAACAAGCCAGGTGTACTTTGATTGTCTTGCCTTTTGAGAGCTGCAACTTTGTCGCTCTTGATCCATTTCGAAGGATGTGCTACCTCAGAAGCTGTCACATGGTTCCCAGCTTACATACAGATTAGATAGTCAACAGGTCCCAAAACAGTCCAGACTTCTATGACAAGACTTGGTTGACAAGGGAAACACACCTCATGGTAGACATAACAGCCGTGGTGCGATGAAGAGCTTCAACCGTTGGCCCTCTAAGCATTGATGATAGCTTCCATCCCTGCCCTTGGCATGGACAAGGATCATGGTTGTGCCAACAGTCCTCCCCACAAATTTTGCTTCAATGACGTAGCGCTCCATAAGTTGCTCCATGCTCTCCGGTTCCCCGGTCCACGGTTCCACACGGACCTTGGCATCGTCCTCTTCCTTCTTGGCTGCCAGGGCCATGGCCGCCTTTGCATCCTCCTGAGATTGGGCACCATACCTCAGGTGAGTCAGGGTGGTCCGCGGGATACCAGAATTGTGGTCAGAGCTCAAAAATATTATAAATAGAAATAAAGGGATCCAAAGAATTCAGTTGTACTCACTAGATCAGCTAAAAGATATGGTGACGTATGATGTCAGACTGTCGGACAAATGACTTTGAGTCGAAGTCCTTCAGCAAAGATTTCCACTCTTCACCGAATACAGGGTCTTCAATATGCCGGGCACGTATTGCAGGTGGAATGCTGATTCTAAACTTTTGCCATCCTTTGGCCGATGGGTTCGAGTCATAGTCTAGCCGCACCAAACGTAAAGGGAATTTGGCCGGGTCTACATCCTTTCCTGTTGACGGCGGCGGTCTGGGCTCGTAAGCACGCACCTGGCCCAGGGTCTTGTGGTTGCCGGCTTTCCACTCCTGGCTGACATTGGGGAGCCCTGAGGAGCTTGCACTGGGACTGACAGGTCTATACTAAACTATTGAGACTGAGAGGGAGATCCTCGTTGAACTTTGAAGCGTGTAACTATAATTCAATGCTGGAACCAAAACACATGGCATGGGTGACAGCAGTGAACAGTCCTCCATCAACTCCAAAGCCAAAACCTTTTCGACGTACTCCGCGGTGGTCAAGTGTTTGGTCAGGCTGAGGGTCTTGAAAACCATGAGGAGATGACAGGTCTGACCACTTCTTGCATGCTTTTTCCAGCCACGTGTCATATGCTGTCAAGTTGATCAACACACAGGTGTCCGAATCAATCTTGGACTTTGCGAAAAGGGACGACAGCAAACTGACCGGCAGCGCTTCCCCTGCAAGGAGTTGAGCTGCCTCTTGGACATCGCTGAGGGACCTGGTGTCAAAGACTCAGCCGTGAAGGGAACACTAAGAAGCTGTGATAAAACAGAACGACTTGTGATTAATATGACTAGCCTGTGACAAACGGTCTGGTTCTGCCGAATTCAGATTGAATGTGATGGTGGATGATGGCAGAATTCTGAATCGCTGGTTTATTGATCGGCTAGCTATACCCAACTTGTAAAGAAACCCAAACGGCGCAAGCCTCATCCCTTCGCTCGCATGAGGGAGAGTATCCTTTTGGGCCACCGGGACGATGTAGGCTGCCTCTGGTGTCCAAGGCAGTTCGCCCCTGTTCGACCTGGCAGAATTTGGAGGCCGGATTTGGCTCGTTGGATGGTATCCCGGCTATTGAGAACAGAATGTCCATATAGTATAGAAATCAAAGAATGATTATGAATTGATTCTAGATCCAATTCTCTTGACAGTTTTTGTAACCTTTTAGCGGCGGCTTTAGTCTTTTGACCAGAAATGCCGGTAGGAGGCTTTTAAAATAGAAGTAACACCGGACCCAAGCCTGTCTTGGACCAACTGGCAGCTGTCAAAAACATTCCCTCCAGCACTGTCCATCGTCAGGACCCATCCATCAAAATGCATAGGGACTTTGCGCTTTCCTGTTGGAGCAGCGCACCGGATCGAGATTGTGTGCAGCTTGAACCCCTTGGCATCAAACTTATCTTCCCACCTCCTGCAGCGCCGAATCCAAACATAGGGTGACGTTCTATAGATATGCTGTGAGTTTCTCTCTTTTGAACAATGTTCGCTTTAAACCTCACAGTGAAATTAATAACAAATTAAAATATTTATTGAACTCTCACAGTCCTCAGTTCGCCTCTGTAGCCAGCAACCTTCTCCGAGATGAGAAAAGGAGCCACTACAATGGCCGCAGTCTTGGCCGGATTCTTCTTGATGATTGTCGACAACGTCTCGCAGAAGTCATGAACTTCGCTCCCAGTCAGCCGCCCACACTTCATGAGGTCGCACCAAACCACCACCGGGCAATGATGGAATCGCGCCAAGAACTGCAGGGAAGCAAACATCAGTCAGAGTCAGTCTGTCTGTCAGTCAGTCAGTCAGTGCCTAGTGAGCCAGTGACCCACATCCCCACACTGGCGATGAATATGAGAGTTGTGGCTGGCTTGAAGGCCGTGTCTAACAAATAACAATTGCACAGCAGTCAGAACACACGTCAGTTTTTGAACTCCGAGCCCGCTCAACAAGTGAGATCTGCTCCTTGCATGGGCCAGCGTGGACCGACATGTTGTTGTGCATGTAGTCCGAAACCAAAGCAGCCCCTATGCAGTTTTGGCCTCTGAGATGTGTGATCCGCTCTGTGCGAATAGCATTCTCTGTTTTGGCTACCTCCCGGTATAGAGTGCCGATTTGGGCAAGGTCCCTAGCCAAAGCCAACTGGTCTGCGTCGTACTGCGCCTTCCGCGCATCAGCTGTCAACGCTTGGGTTCCTTCATCAGCTTGGGCAAGTCTCTCCTTGGTCGTGTCCACTTGCTTAGGAGCGTGCTCTGTGTAGAGTGTGGTTTGCTCCATTGTGAAGCTGCTGTCCAAAGTGTTGAGAAAGATCTCCGCTTCGGCGTTGTAGTCCCTTGGAAAGGATTATTTACAAGGCGAGTGCAGACTCTAGGTTGCTAACAATGAAATAGGCCTAAGGCACAAAATTGGTGAACAGTTTGACCACACCCTGCCCCCCTCTCAGGCAACCAAGATGCCCCTCCACCGCGCGATTGCGTGCACCTTCCAGCACACTCTTGTGAAATAGAGGCTGACCACTGTTGTCGACGCAGGCTAACATTTCGTTCAGCACATACATCAGGAAACACATTTTGTCGCACTCTGAATTCCATTCCTGCAGCGTCATCCTGACAGTCGACGCCTTCCCGGCACGGCGTGTGGCAACAGTGTGCAGGAATTGAACCCGATCAATAAAGAGTTCTTGCTTGTCCGAGTCCACGGTCAGGATTTTGTTCCAGAGGTGGTGTGATCTGGCTGCAGCATCTCGCGGTGCACCCTGCAGCAACCAACGAGAGTCAAGAAGCAGGCTGTTGCTGAAGGCTGCAGGGGTTCAAGGTCAAATCACCCGGCCAGGAGGTGGACTCCAATTAATAGCAAACGTAAGACCAATTTTTGGCAACCCACACTAAAGCGCATTAAAACTCACCATGGACCTACTTGGGACTTGAAGAACACTGGACATCTTTGTTTTAACCCATCGCCTGATGACTCGAACTTGTGGAAGTGAAGGTGCTTCTCGAGCTCGATGAAGACCATCGGGGCAACACCAACCTTGAGTGGCTGTGTTGCAATAATGCCGCATTGTGGTACGTTAAAGCATGTGCCATACAGACCTGTTCTGTGGGTATTGGGTGGCAAAGGAACCCCCACCATCAACCTCAGAACAAAACATACGTCAGATGTCATCGAACGGATTCAATCCCATTTTGTTAACAAGAAGTCATGTGTCCATCATCATCCCATACACCGACATCCAATTCGAGCGGGGAGTGGGGGCGGGGGGGTGACGCTTGGAGCCAAGCTGCTTTGAACCCATACAGCTGCAACTGCGAGTTCGAATCCACCTGAAATCGACGGCTGACTTGAGCAAGGCCATACCCGTTGTACTCCTGAATGCCATCAAGAAAGGCCTGCTTGTAATTGTCAGCATACTTGGTTGGATCCTCACACAGGGCCAGGGGTCACCTGACACTGAGAGTTTTGATTCCAAAGTTCTGTCTTTGTTTGATACACAGGCAGTGACTTAATAACTTAAAATCAGAGAACCCGTCCTTAAATTGTAATTGTTTTGCCCTGGCATCAAAGATTAGCACCTTTTGGAGGACGTTTTTGCGTTGACGCTCGCTTTGCTGTTCGTGCACCTGAAGCCTTCTCCACACACACTGCTCTGGTGCCGAGTCTGTGAACTTGCACTTCAAGATCTTGACGGTGTTCAACCATCTGTTCAAGGAGGCAAGATTGAAGGCCGAAACCCGGAGACTATAGCACACTGTCTAGGTACCAAACATTCCCATAATAGATAAAAGGGTCACGTCAGATTTTTGGAGTTCTGAGATTTCTGAGACGACGTTCCCACCCGGACCATCACGTCAGCCCCCCCCCTCAGCCAGCGGCTAGGGTCTCCAAAATATTATTATGCAATGGTTCCTGTAACTACTCAGTCCTCCTCACTATGATTGACTAGTACACTGATTGAGACTGACTAAAATCCAATCATGGATCCAGATTCCATCCTATGAGCTGAGACGACGTTCCCACCCGGACCATCACGTCAGAAAATCCAAGTTTTTGGGAGCTCCAAGGCGACCCTTTTATCTATTTTGGGGATTTCCTTGTATTTCCCAAATTTGTATTTTGGGTACGTTTGGTGCTGAATTGAATCCATGGAAATCCTTCCGGGCCTGGCCTGAGAAAGTCGCTGATCGTTTCACAGTCCATGTCATCCTTGTGCAGGTATGCCCACAAAATTCCCCACAGGATAACACTTATCCGGCCAAGACCTTTGACAGGAATGACTGAACGGAAAAGCATCGGGCTGCCAGGGTTGAAGTCCACCCCCTTCACCTCCAGGACTTCACGCCAGTTCTCATACCCCCGGTGCCAAATGTCTTTGGCCACAGCCACCCACAAATGATACAGAGGTAAGCCGTCCGCCGGTCGCTCGAAGAGTATGCTCAGCAGCGGCACGTCGACGATATCGCCCATGTCAGCCTAGAACTAAAATCTGACTGAAGTATGAAGTATTCCATATTGTTTCTTGCAGGCTGGCATGATGACGCCCGAAAGAAGAGTCAAAGTGGTCTACTAAATAACTGTGAGAAACCGGGAATTTGTAGTCTTTCGGATGCGGAAAGTCAGGCATGATCCCCTCCAGCCAAGTCTGCACAGGCTCGTAGAGTCCCCCGTTGAACTTGTCCAGCAACATTTGGACTGGGTGATCTCCGCCATCAACATCAAAGGCCCTTACGCCGGGGTGGATGCACCAGGAGGTATGCTGAAGGTAAGTAACATGTTCTCTGAACACACCTGAACTCCTTACCCCTCTTCAAAGTACAAAGATGTACAAAGTATTGCTTAGTAACTTGGCTTGTTCATACGTCTTTGCTGCCCAAACAGTTGAAGTCTTCACACTCTTCGCGCGAGGCGGGGCGTCGAACCCATTGGACTGCTCTCGTTTGACCATGATGGAAGCGCCCGGACCCCACCGGGAGCCTGTGAAGATTGCCGGAGGGTAAATTTCCCAAGCGATTGAAAGGTGAAAGGTGTGTGGAGGGACTGACAATGTACTACTCTTTGAAAGACATTTTTACAGCCATCCTGCCATGTATACTCGCTATTAGCACGACGAATTATGGTCCTTCGGTTAAACTCTGAATTGAAGCGCTCCAAGCCCAAAAGAATTGATTCAGATTTCCGTTTGTATTCATATCAAGGGGATTGGTCACACCGACTGGAGCGTTCCTTTGCATAGCAAGGGAATGCATTACTTTAGCTCTAGGGACAGGCATGCTGCTAAAAGCACCATTCCCACACAAACAGAACTCATGGAATTGCCAGCCATCTTTGATTGCTGGCCGTCAGAAACACCATCCAAACACAAGGCTGGTGCCCTGCAAATCCGGCTGTGCTCATCAGTAACCGGCAAAATGTGGGATGACAGAAGTTCCTTCGGAGACACAAAGCGCTTCTTGTCCTGGGGCTGGAGCAGCATTGATAGGTGATTGGTCATTAATGTTCATCAAACGAAGGGCTCAGATATATTTTCCAAAATTAGAACAAACACGCGTTGACAAGTAAATGTCCTCACTGTACAGCTTCGTAGATGTGGTGAGTGTGCACAAGGTTTTGTCAACACACTCCCCTCTGCCCCTTCCGTTGCGTGGATACTGCGACATGTCGGGATATCGCAGGCTCTTCAATCGCCGATAGTCAGCCAAATTTCTTGCCTAAGCAGGAAAGTGTTGGTTTTCCACTCCGGTTCAGAAAATCAATCGTTCTTTGCCATCTATATGTAAGCACATAATACTCTGTTCAAGGTACCTGAGCTTGCGAGAGAACTGATTCAGGCAGCTTCTCCCAAAGGAACATATCAGCTGTGGCAACAGTCTTTGACGTCAGGATTGTAACAATATCCTGCATAGACCTTAAGTACTCAAAACGACCCAAAAACATGACGAAGTTAGTGTAACATTGCATATATCGCAAACCAACCCAGCGCATCCAAAACACACGTCGTGCCGTCGCTTGACCTTGTCCTTTCTGAAGGCCAAAACGTAGAGCCTGGCTCTCGACGCCGGGACGCCCAGGATACGTGGGTCCACGACCAGGCTTTCCATGTCCCAGCCAACTAGTAGCTGCTGAGGGATTGTTGGCGAATACTCAGGCACGTTTTCAATTATCATAATGTCGGAGATGTCCTTCATGGATTTGTAGTAACAGCTGTGGGTCTGAAAACGGGGATCACCAGTACCAGTTTGGCGCCCCATCTTGCTGAAGAGTGTGCAGATTGGACCTTGGTTGGTGAATTATGGGTCATGTATGGTCCACCAAACCCCAATGCTGAGTACCGTTTGGAATTGAAAAAGCACGGTGTGTTCATTGGTCAATCCTGTTTTGGAACATCCGAATGAGGCCCATGCCGGCTGCATTCACTCTCAATCCTTGGAGCTGGCTTTTGGGCTTGGAGCTGTCAGGGGTAAATGCTCGAAGCTCAGAGCCTTTTAGAATCCTAAGAACAACTAGTTAGTAGGTCTTTAGTGTTTTGATGCTGCAGTACATATTCCAACTAAGAGTCGATTGCGAACATGGTACTTCTGCACGGGGCACATCTTCTGGTGAGTGCTGCAGAATTGAGTTTTTTTTCTCGAGTCGAAGGAGGTGATGTCAGGCCAATTGCATGGGTTCTGGTAAGTGTTCATAAGGACCTTTCTGCAATGAGGATCTATTTCACAAGTGAACTCAAAGAGAACCTTGCGGTGCGCCGGTTTCCGGGCTCCGGCGGACTCAAGGAAGTTGACCGCAGCCGCTTCCAAGCTTGTCACGGCCTCAACCGGAAGAACGAGAGCCTAGAGGTGTGATGAAAAAGGGCTTACATTCAGTAACATCAGGTAACAGAACAATTGGGGTTGGGGCAGACTCTGGCGCTCCAACACCAGAAAAGGCGGACGAAAATGTCCACCGCCACATGCGTAACCTCTTACACAGCCATTTAGTGCCATAATGATTTGCCACCCTCCGCAGAAAGACATCTGGCCAACTAAAGGCTTCCCGCAAAGTTTTGAATCCAGCCGGATGTTGGTGTGAGGCGGCTGGAACTGTAGTCTTCGGGTAGAAATGCCTCCGCCTGTCGAATTGGAAATCAACTCAACTCTAACCATGAGAGGTGTGATGCAGCATGACTAAATGACTTTCCGCATTCACCAAATTAGCCTCACGCTCGAAGCATTCTTCTTGAGGTGGCCCTTCTTCACGACCGCGGCGGTCCTGTCAGATTCCAAGGGATGTGTTCCTTATGAATGAACAGGACACATAGAAAACAAGAACGAGAATCATGTAAAGTAGGTGGCATTGTGTCCGGCCTTTGAGTACTTTGCTTCTTTGAAGCGCTCTTGGATCGGCATGTTGTCCTCCTGCATGACATCTTATATCAAGAGTTGAGTCAGGTTGAACAAACAAAACGTTGACTTCACCATTAGACTAACTAGAGAGACGCAATGGCTCCTGGGCATGGTGTCAGCGAGAAGGCTTTGCACTGCTTTCCTAAGGTCTACTGGCATGATCCTTGAATTGCTCTCGCAGGGATTCCAAGACTGGCAGTGACTGCGACGCCTGGACCTAATGACAGAATGACAAGCTAACTCAAGGCAATTTAGAGAAGGAACAATGTTTTCATCTTTGCACGCCACAGGACTCTTGTCACACAAGCCCCTTCCTGTGTTTCACAGATTGCCTAATGGCTGACAGACTTGGAGACTAACTGCCAGCAAAAGGCGATGACCCATGTCTCGCAGAGACCTAAAGCTACCATTCACGACTCACGACCTTCCTTTTTGTGCGCAGTGGCCGAGCAACTGGCTTGGCCTGACAAGACTGTCTAGTACGGTTACTGTGTTCGACCACTATGCAACCCAAGAATGAATAACTGCAACCCTACCTTGTCGCTGTTGCCCACACGCAAGCCACATGCCGGGCTGGACTGTCGCAGAAAAGTGTTTTATTGTGCAAGACTGACTCAGGACAGACAATGGTGACAGAAGCTCTCCCATGTCAGGTCAGGCCTCAATGTTCTCAGAGACCTCCTCGTGATTCTCAGTGTCGGCAGATCCGCTTCCCTTAGGAACCTGATGAACGTCCTCGTCAAGTCTCAGAACAACTCCCAGAGCTGTGTCCTCAGAAACCTGCTCCCAATGCGTGCGAATGTCACAAGTAGCTGGGTAGATCCATCCATTGACAAGGTGCCGTTTTCCGTTGAAATCATGCCCCTTCTCAATTTGTTTCCACGTGCCATCAGTGTGTTCGTAAAAGATCAGGCCCCAGGCAAATTTGAAGGGCCTATTGCGGATAACCTGCACGGAAGCAAGACTCCATCAGACTCCCTTCTCATGACATCCAGCAAACACGTTTGGGCCTGTTTTAGATTTCCTTGTTTTTTGAACTCGTCCCGGTTGACCTGACTAACAGTCATCAGGTCCAAAACAATGAAACTGAGCCAGAACCAAACTGAACTCTCGATGAAATAATGTGCCTCTTTCAAGTAAGCTCGGACATGCCGCGGCTCCACCTCTGGCCCAGAGTCTTGAATTAAATTGGATGCTACATACTGGGGTTTCTGCATGAAGGCCACGAAACTCAGGAAGGTGCCTGTGAGTCCTCGTGCTGAAACGGATTGAAGATGTCCTGAAGAACTTTGGACTGTAAGTTACGGTCTGACCGTCTCCAGTTGTTTTGACATGGATTTCAATTAGGACTGAGATTTAGGCTTTCGGGATGCAAATCTCATCCCCATCATCAAATACCTGCCAAATGTGTCAACCCGATCCATTGCCCATGATGTGTTGTTAAACCAAAAATGGAACAAGTCTCGGCTGACATGATGTCGGAACAACCGACCATACGCACCTCACCTGCGTCTCCAAGGTCAGTTTGACGATGAAAACCCGAGAAACAGGCGCCTGTGACTTTTCTCGCCTGGCTAGCTTATGGAGTCGGGGGAAAGGATACATTGAATACAACTAGCCACTAACAAGTAGTAGACTGATTGTTTTGGGAGCCTCAGCTTGTAGGGTCTTTTCTTCGCTTCTGGGACAGCAGGCATCCTAGACCCTTAAAATGGTTGGAGCCCAAAAAGCTTCGGAACACTATCAGTTTGTCATATGTGTAGTTCTAACAATGATGCTTGATAAAAGAAGTGGGGCCAGTGGGGCAAGCAAACACCAATTTTCAGACATCAGCGACGGCGGTTGATCCGGGCTTGAAACCTTATGGTTGGCACAACCCTTCCCAAAATGCCCTGACGTTGGATGTCAATCAAGTCTTGTTGACCTGGTGTCGTGTAGAAAGGTATCGGAGACAGCTGTCCTGGATCAGTGTTGCGAACTAGATCCAGCAGAAAGGCTACTGACCGGCCCATGCTCTCTGTCGGGAATTTCCGGAGAAGCACTTGGCACAACTCCAGGTACTTGGCCCGCTTTCCACGGGTTGCTAGCTTCAAAGGCCGGGCAACAGTTGGCGCTTGGTCAATGATGTCCTCCATGAATTGGTATGGCATTGCCAGTACCGCTTCCTGAGAAAGGTTACAAAATGCAGGATCAAGTAGGCCCCTGTCTACAAACCCTGTCTACAAATATCATACTGAGTTCCATGGAATAACCAATTTGTCAGGGTTCCTGAGATAGCTGTGAATCAGAAGCATTCTTCTTCACAAAGCAAATGATGTCCATATCATGTGGAAGCAAAGGCCCACTCGTCTCATCATGCGTGATGACAATGTTTCGGGGAACATCTGGCAGTGTGGCAGGGAGGGCCCAAGTTTGATGTTCATGCCATGTCGTCCAAATAAAGATTTTAATGTCATCATGTTGAAAGACTCAAGCTGGCCTTTCCGTCTCAGAAAGATGTAGGCATGGTGTCCCCCAGCATCTCCCTTGAGTCCTCCTTGGAAGGTCACCGGGAGATTCTCGTCCAACCTGGAGAGCAGTGGTCGGAAAAGAGTCAGCGCTGGCAGGTGTGAGCAGTCAATCCACTGGGTTGTCACAAGCTTTAGGCTCAATGATGGACTATGAACGAACCTCTGACAAGAAACCATTTCTTCCAGCTCCGACAAGCGGTGATATATTCCACATTTATCCGGGCATGGGGCCCAATCCACTTCCTGATTTGAATCCGATCAAGAACCATGCGAATCTTCCTCGGATCGCAAGCGGTAGACTGATAGCTGCCGGTTGTCGTTTCGAAAGCATTGAGTGTATATGGCAATTCATGAGGAATGCAGCAACTCTAAGAACAAGCAGCGAAATCAGGTCAGGCACATCAGAAATCAAGTCTATGTACCGGACACAGGCTGCCAGAATCCCGAACAGTTGATCTTGGCCGCACGTCACGTTCAAACACATCCCAATGACCATGACCAAACAGGGCCCCGCTATTGTTATTAGAAGCTCACTCCAACTGCGGTCAAGAAACCCAACGGACCGTGAGTGTGCCCTGTGCGGGCGAAAAACATGCCCGCACAAGACATCAGGTTCTTCCCCAATATAGTACACATCATCTTCAGGCAGCAATTGTTCTTGTTCTCGCGAACGGTGTTGTCTGCCTGAGATGGACTCTGTAGACCGGCTGTATCCGGCTGTCACAATATTCATCCAAAGTCCAAAGCTGGAATTTCACAAACAACGGCAAACAAAACAACTGCCACCGAAGGACCCAAATTAGGCACTCTTTCGGAAGAGCTTTGTTGTTCTGTGCAAATGTCTCTGATGTGTCTTGAAGTGCCCTTAGAAAACATTCACAGATCAGGCTTGAGTCGGCGGGAACGCCGGGATGGCATACGTAGAGGTTGAGGCTTACTCCATGAATCCACAGGCCGTGGATTTTCATCCTCGGCCGGACTATGGATGCCGCCTCCTTGCTTTTCTGGACCAGCCTATGCCTGGGCAAAGCCCATTTGGATTGATCCATACCGTCCTTGGACTCCCACTCATGGCAAAAATTATCAAAAATTTGATTCAACCTTGATTCAAGACCAATACCGCTCAGCCACCCAATGGATCGTCAACGCGGCGGTGTCGTCGTCCAAAGGCGATTGCGTCTGCCATGTCACATGTCTCATATGCACTGCTGCTGCAGTTACTCTCCATGCTTCTGATCAGTGGAAATCGGTCCGGTCCTGGAAAAATTCCTCAAGCTTTCTGTCGGCTGATACCACTGCTAGGTGGTCCTTGTACATCCGTGCGCAATCGAATTTGCTTTGCGCATCCTCAGAAAGAGGCTATGACCAACAGTTAATTAAAACAATGAGGTCAGTCTTGTCTGCAAAGCAGTGTTCTGAAAATTGACCGCATGTGCAACAAGATTCCATGGCCACTTTGAATTTCTCTTTGGCCTCCATGCAAACATCGCATGTGGAGTGATCTGATTGTGGGGTAAACCGAAGTGTGTTCCGCCAGGCTGATGAATACCGTCTCCAAAATGTTTCATACCTTTCTCCAGCATGTGCAGTGTTACAGAATCAATGCCATAATCATGATAAGAAGAGAAGACACAAGGTACACAATAAACGATTCAAGATGGGTCACGACACTGAAGTGCACGAAAGACGGAACTCATGCCAAAGCATTTTCACGCTACCAGGTGGAAGGTAGCGTGTGGGGAGCTCTGCCACCCTCTGAGCGAACGCCGTGTCTATATACCTTGAGTGGTAAGTAACTAATGATCAAACACCTCGCACCAAAAAACAAATGATTGGACACTGATTTCAACTCTTGGCTGAGTAACTTGCTGAAGAACCCCTGGCAACCATGTATGTGGAGGCGCAACTCCTCATCGTCTTCCAATGCTTCGCCATCAGCAGAAAACTCAACGGCGTCATCATTGTCAGCTGAGACCTCGCCCTCGCCTTAACACGGACGAGTTGTGCTGAGTAGTTGTGAGTACTGTATCAGTATCACAACAAACCAAATCCAATAATAACAGTCATGGTGCTTTCAGTGTCGGAGTCAGGCTCAAATTTGAACTCCACTCGCAACTGGCTAGACTCGGAGTCCTTCGCGCTATTTCGTGAACGACCGCCCCTCTGAAACCTCAGAGTCACACAAAATGAACCAAAGGACATCTTCAAATTGAGATGTTACATAAGACGATTCAATTTGTGATGAAGCACCGATTTGGGAGCATACCCGCTGCATTCTGGTAGAGTCGAAGCAAATGAAGATCAACCAGCTTGCGCTTGACACTACCCCGAGATGATGCCTCAATGAAACCAGTGCGACCGACCAAGACTCAACCTGGTTGACCTGCATTCATGACAACAAGACTCACTCACCAGCGAAGTTACCCCGAAGCATCGATAACGCATGTCAAGTTGACCCGAGGAGGTACGCTGGAGGCGTCCGTTGCCAATCCCAAGCAATCCAGCTAAGCATCTGGAGTTCAAGTCTTTGTTCAAAAGCATCCACCTTTTGCTACTCGAAGTCCCGGCTCTTGAGACCACTCGATGAATCTCAGCTGACTGGCCCAAAAAGGATTTCTTAGAGTCTGGTGACACTCAGTGATAAAAATTAAGAATGGTACATAGGCGTCTTGAAGAGTCTTCCGGAGGGCCCAAAACTTGTTGAGGAACTTCATCAAATTGTCGTCACCCACAAATTGTTGGTAACATGGATCTGCGTGCTGGCACCGACACCGCTTTGCAGCCAGCAGTTTCCGAACTCTGATGGGGCAACGCCCATTCAAGTGTTGCCTTGGTTCATCATCTCCCACCATGTTACCCCGAAATAACCCAAACGAGTAAATTTAAAATCAATGTCAAACAAATTTCTGTTGGGACTCAACTGGGTGACGACCTTCTCTCCGGTGGGCGGGCTGCCATGAATCTTCTCTTCCGGTTGTCATAGTTTGGACGCAATCGTGGTGTTGGTTTTGAATCATCTGTAGCCAATTTAATGGTTAGCTGGTCGTTCACAAATTCCAACAATGAGTCCCAAGAAAAATTCACCACCACCGCCGCAGAGCCATCCGCACACCGCCCATCCAACTTCACTGTATCGTGGCCAAGGGAGCTGGAAGCCTGTGATCTTAGATCAGGCTCAGGCTCAGGAGAGGCCAAGGATTGAAAGAACCTGGGCATGATTATAATCACCACACCACCAAACACCAAATTAACATAATGTCGGCACATAACCACACAGACTGTCATTCACTCAATGCAATCTTGGCGCTTCAGTCTTCGCGGATCTGGACGATGACGGGCTTGAGCCATGTTGCTACGCCTTTGAGTAGTTTAGTTCATGGACCTGAATGAAACGAAATGATCCCCGAATGAAACGAAATAGCCTTTTTTACGAATTGTACAACAATAATAAGCCATCATGAATAGCAATGGCAATGGCAATGATCCGAGAATGATATGAATTTGTATAGTATCCTATAAGGCACGAGTTGGTTGCAGGTTTGTTTGTTCTATCACTTCTATTTTTCCATGCCCTAATGCTTCCATGGGGACTGGAATATTTATCGAATATCCAGTAAGACTCCTCTTCAACATGTTTCAACCACTGCAATACTCATATCCCAAACACTCCAGGCACCTGCCATCTACGGGATCAAACACTCAGCATCTCTAGGCCCCGAGACGGGACAGTTCAGAACACCACGGCTCGGGCACGGCTCGGGAGGATCTCCTGTGAAAGCCCTCAGGGATGCCCACAAGGCGATTCCTGAGGAGGAGCCAAGCCACAGGACGATCACCATCACTTCGACCTCGAGCGAGGCTGGCGGAGCAAGAGCACATAGTGGAAGACGTCCGATGATTGGCTTGAATTGGGTCATGAAGCATCGCCCAAACACAAATCAAAATTCGTCTGTTGGATGGGACCTCCAACCTGATCAGCGTTGAAATCTGCCAAATTCAACAACTGTATGATTCCTGGTCAGTCTATGTTGCCCGTGATGCCTGCGTTTGCCCGTCTGGGTGCTCCTTTAAACGCCCCCTGGCTACAAAGTCGCTTTGCTTTTGGCTTATTTTCTGCGCACCATCTAGTTACATTCAATTCACAAAGTAGAGATAAGTCGAGGACAGTTGTTCACGCCCAAAAGTGTTGGATCAATTATTTGCAAAAATATCACCCAAATAAACAACGATGCGGAGCGTGCTAGCAAAGGGCAATTGCAATTCAAAACCAGCACCGAATGATGTCAACCAAGAAGTTGCGCATTGGACAAGGGACATCCCACAAAAGAAAAATAAACAAATGGATTTGATTCAGGTCTCTCAACCTTTCAACCTGCAAGTCACAAACAAAGGCTTCACGGTGATCTTTCCATGCGGGTTGGCCATCCGATAGGCTGCCACTTCGAAGACCTCGTTCGCCGATATAACCGACGAGGTGACGCCGGGTCCGACAGCCTCGCCGACAGGTCCCACCTTTCTAGACAGCCCTTT